ACTGTGGACACATTTCAACCTCACCAAATCTGCTAATTATTGACAGTTGGTGAAGAGGAGATTTCACTTGTTCCTCCTGTTAAACTGCATCTAATTAGTAATTACTGGTTCACTGTCATCTTTACTGCAATAATCCCACTGCACATTGGCTCATTAACCTTTTGCTTTTCTAAAGCAGCCTGCCAACAAGATGAAGGCTAAAACAGATTGGAAAACAATAGCTCAGCCTTGGATTTTAGGCTGTTTATTCCCCTTGTCCTGGAGATCCAAAAGGAAGATTATTTTTAAGGAAAGGCTGAAATCAGCCTTGTTCTGGAAGACATCTCGGTTCACATTGAGCATCATCCCAAAAATACCCTTTAAACTTCCCCCAGGTGAGGGGCTCAGGTGGTTGAAGGCTTCTGTGCCATTCTCCAGCTCCATTTCTCCCTTTCTCACCTGGCCCTGTCCACCTCTCTCCCCAGCATCCCTGCGGGCAGGGGGTGACAGGAGCTCCTGGTGGACCTGCTGAGGAACGCTCTGGAGGAGCAGGGCCCACGGGGCAGGGAAGCAACCCCGTGGTTCTTTCTGCTGCTGCTACACTGAATTTCATTTGCACAAGCCCCATTTTCGGTTTGGAGCTGTCACAGCTGTTTCCATTGGCAGTGCATAGCTGAGTAGGAGTTGTCAGTGGGGATGCTGCGGGATTGGGAGAGGGAAGAGATTCCCCGGGGGGCATGGGAGGCAGTTGGAGGTTGTGGGCTAAATGCATTAACTACATGTTTCTCCTAAACTTAACAGCAGTGAATTACTCAATGCATATTGATGGCTTTAGGTACCACAGTTAACACTATCCTGGGATGACAGGAACGTTTCTCAGCAGCTCCAGCATGAGTATTCCCATGGATCCATGGTTTCGTGGCTGGTACGAGGGGTTTATTTTTATAATGTTCTCTTTAGAGCCATAATATCCAGAAACAAGCTGTGATTCTGGAGCACCGCTGCAGAAATCCAACTGGAATTTCATCCCTACCAAACCCAGGGCTTGGCTAGGCTGGGTATGCACCCAAAAAAGGCTCAGGGTGCATTAACCTTGCCAGCACGTGGAGGTTGCTTACCTCCAGAGCTCCCTTTCCCTGTTTTCAGCCACAGCTGAGCCTGATTTCCCTGGAATTGTTGTAACACAGGAGTAACTCTGGAGCAGCTACAGCTGATGGGACAAGGTGGGTACATTTACCCAGAAATTTCATTAAACCTATTGCAAGGCTTCAGTTCTGCTGGAAAACCAATTGTGAGCTTGAGCCCTGTTAGGATCAAAGGTGGCCACAAACTCCTGGCCCAAAACAAGCCCTCCATGGCACATCAGCCTCTGTGTTTGCTCCCTGACCTCCAAAAGGTTCTGAGTGTGTGAGCAAGGGCAGAACTTGACTCACTCACAGCTCCTGCTGCTCACACCACAGCCCTGTTTTTGGAACAGAGCAAATCTCTTACAGCTTGTTGCTGATCTGGTACAACAGCCTGGTCCTGTCCTGCTGTGCCCATGACCATGGGGAAAGCAAAGACATTCCCACAGAGGTCAGTGCTTACACACCTCTGAATTCCTCATTGACAGGACAGAATCATGGAATCATTCAGGCTGGAAAAGACTCCAAGCTGATCGAGCCCAACCACTGAAGTTCAGGGTCTGGTGATTAGTGCCCAAAAATTCACAGGTTTTGAGAAACACTCCCTGCAAAGTTTCTTGGATTTCCCATCCAGAAATGGATCCAGAGGGATTGGTGCAGGTAAACCACTCACTTTGCTCCCTTGAGCATCCCCACAGAAACCTCCAAAGAGATTCTGGAGAACGGGGGGAATGTCCTTTGTAAACACTCACACGTTTATAGAAAATGCAAACATAATGGGAAAATAGGCTGGGAGAGTTGGGAATGTTCCCCTGGAGAAGGGAAAATTCCAGGGCATCCTCAGAGACCCTGAAGGGGCTCCAGGAGAGCTGGAGATGGACTGGGGACAAGGCCTGCAGGGACAGGAGCCAGGGAATGGCTCCCACTGGGAAAGGGGAGATTGGGCTGGGATCTTGGCAAGGAATTGCTGGCTGGGAGGGTGGGCAGGGGCTGGGCTGGAATTCCCAGATTTGCTGTGGCTGCCCCTGGATCCCTGGCAGTGCCCAAGGCCAGGTTGGCCACTGGGGCTGGAGCAGCCTGGAACAGTGGGAGGTGTCCCTGCCATGGCAGGGGTGGCACTGGATGGGATTTAGGGTCTCTCCTGATCCAGACCATCCCAGGATTCTGTGACTAATCAGCCCTGGCTGCCCCTGGAGCCCCTGAGCCTGTGGTATAAGCAGATGTGGGACTCAGCTGTGCAGGGCTCCCATCTCCTGGAGCAGAGCTGGGTGGCAGCTGGCAAAGCCCAGGCAGGCTCTGGAGGGCTCCTTTTCCCTGGCAGGGAGTGTGGGCAGCCCACATCATCCCGTCTGATCCCTCAGCAGGGCTGATTCATGTTTGCTCTGCTCAGAACATCTCAGCTGCCTGCACGAGGTCACTCCTCACAAGGTTGTCACTGCTGCCTGCAATCCCAGTGTCCTCAGAGCCAAACCACTCCTGGATTTTCCCTCTGGGTTAGAATTCATTCAGCTCCTAAAATCAATGAGATTTTCCCTGCTGGAATAGCAGGTACTGCACAGGAGGAGTTATGTGAAGTGTGTGTTATTTTAAGGAAAAAAATTTTCACTGAAAGAATAACAAAGCACTGGGATGCTCTTCCCAGGGAGGTGGTGCAATCACCATCTCTGGATGGGTTTAAAAAAGACTGGACACGGCACTTGGTGCCATAATTGAGGTGTTAGGGCATAGGTTGGACTTGATGATCTTGGAGGTCTCTTCCAACCTCATTATTCTGCAATTCTGTGATTCTGTCACCCAGAAAGGCACAATTCCAGTGGGAGGTGTCCCTGATCAGGAAGCAAGAGAGTCCTTAAGGTCCTTCCCAGCCCAAACCATTTTAGAATTCCAGGATTTTGGAGGAACGGTGGCAATGTCTCCTTTGGGATAAATGAGGTTGGTGGTACCTGCTGTGGCCTTGCTCGAGGATTATCCTGAAAGGTTTTTCCTGGAAATAGGGAGGAAATTGGAAATTTCCAGGAAAATTGCACCAGGGAAGGCTTAAACTGGATATGAGGAAGGAATTCTTCCTGGAAATGGTGGTCAGGCACCCCCAGGGCAAGTCCCCATCCCTACAGGGATTTCACAGCCACGTGGCACCTGGGGACAGGGTCAGTGGTGGCCCTGGCAGTGCTGGGAGAACAGTTGGACTCACTGATCTCAGAGGGCTTTTCCAGCCTTAAAACCACTCAGATTCCCTGGGAAAGGAGCAGAAGGGATGCTGTGTGCCCCAGCCTCCTTCCCAGGGGCAGCCTGGACCTGCTCCAGCTGCACCTTGAGCAGGTGTGAGACCTGGCAGTGCTGCTCAGCCTTGCCAAGCCCAGCCTGGGAGCAGAACTGGGGATCAGCACAGAGCTGAGGGCCTGGAGCTGAGGCTGAGCTCCTGCCAAAAGCACTGCCAGGCTCTGGGGGTGCACAGAGCCCACGAGAGGCAGGGAAATCACATTGCTCCTGCAACTGGGGCTTGTGCAGCTTCTGACTGCAATGCTGTGTCTGCTCCTGATGGAAGGGCTCCAAAAACGATGTTGACTAATTAGAAAAAGTTTAAGGAAGAGCCATATGAATCATTAAAGCTTCAGCAAACACGTCTTTTAGCAAGAGGCTCCAAGACTGAGATAAATTCAGGTTCTTAGAGAGAAGGGACAGTTTTCTCTCAGCCTGGAGACAGCAAGAAGGACAACAGAGAATTCCCAACGTGTTTGTCAGTCAGCACACAAGTGTACAGCAAGATTCCCTGGCTGGAAGTCATGGATAAACCCATCCAGACTGAAAAAAAAAATGAATTCACGTGCAGACACTGATACAAACTCCTGATCCAGTGACAGGAAAAGAACCTTGTGAGAGAGCCCTTGTGTTTCTCCCTTAGGAATAGATACCTTCTCTGGAAATGCACAGATTTACAACCAGGAAAAGCTCCAATCACCAAATTAAAGACTTAAAATAAACCCACATGAGCAATTTGTTCAGCTAAATTGGTCTGAGGGATTGCATTGGTCACTCCCTGTTTCCTTGGCTGGTTTTCATTTGTTCACCCCCAGGCTGGGCCTTCCCAGGAGATGAAAAAGCAAAAAGCCCTTAGAGAAGCTCTGGGGAAGAACAACCCCCTCAAAGGGGTGGTCCAGGCTCTTGGCCTCATGGACAGAGCTTGGGTTCAATATTTTAACTCCAAGGAAAGCCCAGTGTGAGGGGCCTTCCCCTGCCTGGTGAAGCTGTGCTGTTCAGGAGAGGAATATTCACGCAGAATTCTACACAGAACTCACAGAATCACCAGGTTGGAAGAGACCTTCAATACCATCAAGTCCAACCCAGCCCCAACCCCCCAACTTAACCCTGGCCCCCAGTGCCACATCCAGGCTTTGTTAAACACACCCGAGATGGTGACTCCACCACCTTCCTGGGCAGAACATTCCAGAACTTTATCACCTTTCCATAAAAACCTTTTCCTGCTATCCAACCTGTATTTCCCTTGGCACAGCTCGAGACTGTGTGCTCTGGTTGTGTTGGTTCCTGCACAGCCCAGCCCCAGCTGAGCACAGGCACCTTTCAGGGGCTGTGCAGAGTGATGGGGGCACCCCTGAGTCTCCTTTTCTCCAGGCTGAGCACCCCCAGCTCCCTCAGGGGTTCCTCACAGGGTTTGTGCTCCCAGCCCCTCTCCAGCCCCCTCTGGATGGGCTCAAACATCCCAAAGTCCTTCCCAAACTGAGGGGCCAGAGCTGGGCACAGCATTTGAGGTGTGCCCTCCCCAGTGCAGGGACACAAACCAAATTCTCCAGGAATGGAGGGCCCACAGGAGTGGGGCATCCCCAGGAAGGCAAAGAGGCCATGGTTTGTCACCCCCTGAGAGCCCCAGACCCCACTGACCTCGGACATCTGCGGGAAGAGGCTGATGGCCAGGGGCAGGGCCAGCCCAAAGGCAGCCAGGCACACGAGGCTCTGCACCGGGAGCAGCATCCGGGGCCGGCACCGCAGCAGCCACGTCCTGCAAGGGAAAGGCTCAGTTAGAATATTCCAGGGACAGGAGACAGGGCAGAGCTAGATTCTGCAACGGAAAGGCTCTGTTAGAGCACTGCAGGGACAGCCAGAGCTCAGTTAGAGCATCCCAGGGACAGCCAGAGTCACGTCCTGCAAGGGAAAGGCTGAGTTAGAATATTCCAGGGACAGGGGACAGCCAGAGCCAGGTTCTGCAAAGGAAAGGCTCAGTTAGAGCACTCCAGGGACAGGGGACAGCCAGAGCCTGAGGCAGAGATGTGGGACTTCAGGCTGCTCTTCAAAATGGGTTTATTGCATAGAAGTTACAGCAGCCTTAGGTCATGGGTGACAGAGCCATGCCTAAAGCTGCCAGCTCCAGCTCTAGGCAAGTCTGAACACCCTTTAGTTTTGGTTACACTGCATTTTATATTTCCCTTTGCTGAGCATCTTCACACATAACAACCAATCAATACCTTTATTATTACCTACAGCCTATCATAATTTCTATCATTATCATGTTATGGTCAATACTTTCCAATCATAAGAGTTAGTATGGTACAATCACCATATTATGGTCAATACTATCCAATCACATGGGTTAGTATGGTACAGTTTAAGCTTAGAATTGTTTTTCAGTTTTCTTGCAGTGGAAAATTCTTAGATCTTTTTCCTACTTGCCAAATCAATGTTTGTTTGCCTGTGCTATCTTTCTGCTTTTTAAAGACCTATTTCTGATTGGAAAAAGCATCTTTTTGTTTGTGGTCAACAAATCCTTTGTTCTAGTCATAAAACCTCCTTCCAGCTCGACTTAATTGTCCAGTAAATGTCCTGGCTCAGCAATTGTCAATTTATACATCTATTGTTCTTCTATATCAAAATTTGCTTCACCTCTGTTCTGCTCTCAGGTTCTACATCCAGAGAGCTTTCTGCCAAGCACACACATCTGTGAATATCTCCTTGTCAAACTTCCATCCTTCCCAAAGGGGAGTGCAGGACATCCCTGGATGGGCTCTGCTGCTCACCTGGACCTGCTGTGCCCCTCTCCTCACTGGTGTCAGCCCCCTCAGAGAACCATGGAATGGGTTGGCTTGGAAAGAGCTTTAAACATGATACAACTCCTCCTTATGCCATGGCAGGGACACCTTCCCCATGCCAGGGTCCTCCCAGCCCTCCCAGGGAAGGGACAGCTCTTCCTCAGCAGGTCACCACCAACCCCAGCTCCACCCACCCCAAAATGGGTGAGGCAGAGCAGGTGAGCCCAGCACAGTGACCCTATCACAGGTGAGCCCAGCACAGGGGACACCTGCAGCAGCCTGGAGCTTATGCCCCAGGTCCCTGAGAGACACTGGGAGCTCTGGGAGCTTTGGGAAAGGCACTGGGAAAGGCACAAAGAGCTTCATTAATGGGGTGATAAAGGCACAGCATTGACAATCCCTTAATTTGTTAAAATCCAGCACCTGCAGAGGGTGGCAAGGATGTTTGAACATTTCCTCTTCCTGGGGGACGTTTATGAGTTCAAGATTTGTTAACAGCAAACTGCTGAAGGTGCCTGCAAGGTCAGGTTCTGGTAATGACCCAAAAGTGACCCTTTGATGGAATTAACACCAGATAATTGGGACAACATTTGGATGGTAGGAGCTGGTATATTAAATATATTCCAGGATAAATATTAACTAAAATATTATAAATATTAATAAATATTATTTATAAATAAGAAATATTATTTATAAATAATATATAAATATTATAAATAATAACGAAAATTATATTAAGTATTATAAATAATAATATTTAATACATGTTCTAAATAATAATTAAATAAATAATATAAATTATAACTGCCTCAGGCAGTTTACGAGTTTTAAAGGGGAAAATATAATTTGTGAAGGATTTATTCCAGAGCCATTTACAAAAATGATCCCTATCATTCAACTGAAATAAATGGGAATATAAACCAACACCAGGACAGGGAATTCTGTTGGAATGTTCAGTGTGTATGAGCAATGTGGAGAGGGAGTGGATTTGCTGCTGGGTTATTTTGGACACAGGGAGCAGCTGAAGCTGGGCCAGGGCAGGTTTGTGTTGGATTTTAGGGAAAGGAGGATTTTACCCACCCCCAGAGGGAGGGTAAAAATATCCAGGGGCAAAAATCCAGACTCGCCAGGGAATGAGCCCTAAGGCTGCCAGAGCTCCAGGAGCCTTTGGACAGCACTCCAGGGATGCCCAGGGTGGGATTTTGGGGTCAGGGCAGGGCCAGGGGTGGATGGATGATCCCTGTGGGTTAAGCTCAGGATATTCCATGATCTCCTTCCCCTTGGGGTGGTCACAGGAGCTCTCCTTAGCCAGGGAAGGTACAAGAGATGACACCAAGCCCGAAACATCCATCCCTGTGGTGACATCCTTGGGATTAAACCATTCCCAACCCAAAGTGCTCCATTCCCCTGCCTTGGCACGGGGCTGCAGCCAGGTTGGACCCAGGTCACCTCAGCCCCTTGCTCACCTCCAGTGCTGGCTCTGAGCACGCCTGGGGGATGTGATGAGAAGGAATTCATGCCCTGCTCCTGCCTGAGCCTCCCCAGCCTGCTGAGAGCTGCCTTCATGTGCAGGAGCCAGGGGAGAGCAAGCACCAGGGTTTAACTCCTCCAGCAGCTCAGCTCCTCACTAATAAGCTCTCGAGACAGAGTTGATCCTATCAATTTGTGCTGTGAAAATCAAACTTCTGTTCTCCAATCTTGAGCTGCTCTGTGCTGCACAGAGCATGGCTGCAGCTCAGAGCCTCCCTGAGGAGCCTGCAAGGCTTTGTCCCAGCAGGAGAGTGGGTCACCTGTCCAAGGAGGAGACCAGGTCACCTGTCCCAGTAGGAGACCAGGTCACCTGTCCCAGCAGGAGAGTGGGTCACCTGTCCAAGGAGGAGAGCAGGTCACCTGTCCTAGCAGGACAGCACCTGCCCAAGGAAGAAAAGTCACCTGTTCCAGTAGGAAAGGTGACATGTCCCAGCAAGGAAGGTGACCTGTCCAAGGAAGAAAAATCACCTGTGCCAGCAGGAAAGGTGACCTATCCCAGCAGGACAGCAGGTCACCTGTCCAAGGAGGGAAAGTCACCTGTCCAAGCAGGACAGCAGGTGACCTGCTCCACACCCTGTCACACCTGCCCCATTACAGGACTGCCCTGGATAAGCTCTGCTCACCCCTGGGTGCACAGGGGCAGCTCCTGGGCCTGTGACCATCCCTGGGTGCCCAGGGGCAGCTCCTGGGTCTGTGACCATCCCTGGCATGCACAGGGGCAGCTCCTGGAGCTGTGACCATCCCTGGGTGCACAGGGGCAGCTCCTGGGTCTGTGACCATCCCTGGCATGTACAGGGGCAGCTCTTGGAGCTGTGATCACCCCTGGGTGCACAGGGGCAGCTCCTGGAACACTGATCACCCCTGGCATGGGCAGGGGCAGCTCCTGGAGCTGGTTTTTGTCCTGCTGAAGCTGCTATGATCCATGAGAGCCCTCATTGGGACATTCCCAGCAGCAGATCCTCGCAGCCTCCTGGGGCCCAGTTTAGAGCCAAGGCTTCGCTGCTGCCACCACCCCTGACATCTTAATTTGGAACTGCACCCTCTGTAATTACTGCCCTGTCGGGGACCTTATAATCACCCAAGTAAAACCTTAACCAATTTAAAAGGATCCTGGGTCCAGCCCCCAGGTGTGACTTCCAGGGGTGCTTCCAGTCCAGGCCAGTTCAAATTAGAAGGGCCGACCTCCTAATTAGGAAGAGTTATGGCTCGATTTAAAAAGGAGAGCAGACTAATTAACACATGTAGTGTAATGTCTTAATTGGGATTCAGATTGGAGAATTTGTGTGGTTCAGAATAAATGACTCATAATTAGCCAAGAGGTCCAGTTTTCTCCTGTCCCTGGATCCCTGCTCCCGACACCGAGCTGGGGAGGAAGGGGAGTTAAATATTGCATTTTGTGAGCTGTCAGCTGCACTGCAAATCCCTCTTTGCACCCATTAACCCCCCGTTGGAAGGCAGTGATGAGGAGCTTCCAAAGGGTTTCACTGCAGAGGATCAGCACAGATTGAAAATAAATTAATAAAATAAAATATCTGTGTGGAAATAAAATTAATATCCATGTGGTGAGGAGGGATTTAGTTCACACCACTGCCCTGCCTGCTCTGCCAAAGGGTTGGGTCAGGGAATGGGGAGGTCTGGACCTTCAGAGCCCCCTGACAGCTCAACTCTGGCATCTTCTGGAGCCTGAACAATGCCAGGGTGAGTGAGGAGGGGAGGGAGGTCACCCAGTCCCACCTCCCTGCTCCAGCAGGGTCCCCTGGAGCACAGAGCTCAGGATTGCGTCCAGATGCATTCTGAGTATCTCAAAAGGTACTCAGAATAGAGATATTAAAAATTGAATTACTGAACATCTCCAGAGATGTTCAAAAAGCAGGGGAATGAGCCTGATTTATTCTCAGGAGCAAACCCCATCCCACCCCACATAACCCTGCAGAAATATTTGTACTATTTCACCAAGAACAGGAGTTTTAGGGACCTCACCCCATGCACAGGACAGGGGCAGTTCTGGAATTAAACCCTCGTTCAGATTATTCAACAAAGGGTTGGAAAGTTTGGTCTCACCCTGGAAAGCTGCAGGATGACAAGAGAATCATGGAATCATGGAATGGTTGGGGTTGGAAGGGACCTTAAAGCCCATCAGGGACAGCTCCCATGATCCCAGGTGGATCCAAGCCCCAGTGTCCAACCTGGCCTTGGGCACTGCCAGGGATCCAGGGGCAGCCACAGCAAATCTGGGAATTCCAGCCCAGGGCCTCCCCACCCTCCCAGCCAGGAATTCCTTGCCAAGATCTAATCCAAGATCTGATCTCCCTCCCTCAGCTTGAGACCATCTCCCCTTGTCCTTGCACTCCCTGCTCCTGGGAAAAGTCCCTCTCCAGCCTTTCCTAAGCCCCCTTTAACATGTTCATTTTATTGTCCCCAGTTTCATAACCCAACATTTTTCTCT